AGAGAGAGAGAGAGAGAGAGAGAGAGAGAGAGAGAGAGAGAGAGAGAGAGAGAGAGAGAGAGAGAGAGAGAGAGAGAGAGAGAGAGATTATATATTTAGATCCCTGATAACGCACTGCAAAGTTTTTTTTTGTCCATTCGTGCTGGCATAGACAAGTGGGCGGCTTTACTTGTTTTTCTTCAAAATGAATCATATGGTAAGGCTGTTCCAAATAGGATATCTATGCATCTCTATGTGGATAAAGTGATCAGTGTGGTGATTGTTTGAAACACACACACACACACACACACACACACACACACACACACACACACACACACACACACATTCGGGTCCTTAGGCAGGTTACGGTGTGATAGCTGGCTCATTGAGAGAGTGAGAATGAGAGGAAGTGGGATTGGTTAGGGATGGGACTGACGATTACCATCAAGGGTGGCTGCAGTCAGGAGGATAGGTTGGAAAGGTCAGTAGCTGGGGATGGGTACCACTGCGAATCTCCCGCCCAAGGAAAGCCTTCTGAAACCCATCCCCTGATTGGGATGCCATCGATGACTGAGCCTCAGATGGCCCCCTACCCCAGCCCTAACCCGAGTAACCTTTTATATTAAAAAAAGAAAAGAAGGGAAGGAACGACGTGAAGTCCAGATGGGTCAGCCAAGTGATCAGTCTCTGAGAGGCCACTTGGCTGACCCATCTGGACTTCGCATCGTTCCTTCCTTCGTGTGTTTCGTATCACTGTCTTACTGCAAAAGGGACACCCAAAACATCCATACCCTCCTGCAGTCCCCCTTCCATGCCGTTGGGGTTAACATGCCCCCAGTGTAGACTGTCACTGTCCAAGTCAGGCCCAGTGTTAGGGTCATTTGCAGCTCAAGGCAGTAACTCCTTTCACCCTAGTGGATCTTCGCTCTCCTCAGGACGTCTGCCACTCATGTGGAGTGCTGAGAACATAATACAGCAGCCCCCAATGGCTGTGGTCCATCTGAAGGTTGTGGGGAGATGCGAGGCCTCAAGGAAGCTCAGCTGAGCTTCCACCTTTCCATATCATTTCCAAGATTTGGGAGACCTTCCCAAGCCTATCAAAAAGCCCACTCTATCCTAGTCTACATCAAAAAGCTTCATTCATCATGAAAACAGCACAAAAATCCCCTCCAAGTTCGAGTATGGCTTCTGAAAGCACGGCGAGAAAGTATAGTTTCGACATGCAAAAACTGTCGGCTGCATGTGCCGCAATCGGACAAAGAATGATCACCAAGCATCAAGCATCAAGCATTCATAGCATCCATGCAGCCACACAACCAGGAGGGGCATCCACTGGTCACACGGGCACTTACCTGGACCAGATGACTCATTCTTTAGGGGGGTATCAGTCACCCCTTTCTCGCCAACCTGCATTCCCTCCTAACCCCCTAAAGAGGACTGTCCTCCTGACCCTAAAGTGTACTAAAAGCTACCGTCTTCCCCCGAACACAACGCACCCTCTGTATAGGGCTGGAAACATACCTTGTATACGTTCATTTTCAGGGTGCGTTATGTTCGGGGGAAGACGGTAGTCGGGCTCCACTGCTCATGGTGATGATAGAAGTCCAAATATCAACCATCTTTTGTAGCTAGCTTGCTATAGTAGTCCCCCTCCTGTCCTCCAACTGAGGAAAAGAAGCCTCCGTGATCACACTCGTCCTTCTGGATGTCCTCTTCATGCAAGAGTACCTTCCACATTCGTCATCTCTCCCTCCTTACTTCCTCCTTACTCCCTCTTACTGCTTCCCCGCATCTCGCCACCCTAATCTTCCTTTCCAACGCTAATCTGAGGTTTAATGTCCCAACACCTCCCAGAATCAGGCTTCGGGCATCATCATACACACTCGACACCCTGATCCCAGCTAATCGTGTACGAATCCTCATTCAATTTCCCTAATGAACTCGGGATTTATGGTTAGGGAAGCTTAGTGACCTCTCACTAATTGTTCCCTAATCCGACTTTAAGCCACCAGTACACCCGGGCACACTGCGGCAAGCTTGTCTGAACTGCCAGCGGCACACTTCTTTTATGCAGCCGTTGTTGTCAGGTAGTCCCGAGCGCCAAAAAGTTAGGAGTTGGCAACTCACGATTTTCTGCATGACAGACAGACAGACAGACACAGACAGACAGACACAGACAGACAGACACAGACAGACAGACAGACAAACAGACAGACAGACAGACAGGCAGACAGACAGACAGACAGACAGACAGACAGACAGAGACACAGACAGACAGAGAGACAGACACAGATGGACGGACGACGGACGGACGGACAGAGGCAGACACACAGACAGACAGACAAACGCAGACAGACAGACAGACAGACAGACGGACGGAATGAACTGACAGACACGGTGGACGGACCGACCAACGGACCGACGGACGGGTCGACAGACGGAACAACCGATGGACCGATAGACCGATGGACCGACCGACTGACGGATGGACAGACCAACAGACCGACCGACCCACCGATTGACCGACCGACAGACCGACCGACAGACTGACCGGCAGACCGATCCGCAGACCGACCGACAGACCGACTGACAGATCGACGTGCCGACC